AATCAAGGCGGTTACAACCAAGACAGCTATGGGTCCAGCAGTGGGTATGGCCAGCAGGCAAGTTTGGGGCCATCCTCAGATGAGTTTGGCCAACAGCCTAGTGGCCCCACTTCCTTTACCAATCAGATTTAACAGAGTAGCATTCGCATTCTTCTGGAGATAGCCTCACCACTTTCCGTTTCAGTGGCAGAAGAATTTTTTAAGAGTTTCAATCAATTATTAATGCAGAGAGTATTGAATGTAAATCAGAGATCTGTAGTCCTCATTAAGGCAGAAAGGCCTGGGTTGTGATAAATGGTATTTAGAGATGAGATGACATGAGGAAATATATTATTCATCATAGATAGCTAATTGGAGAGTACCTTGTCATATACACAGATACTTTTATGGTCGTTTGTATGTGTGTTGAGATAATAGAAACGTTTTGTAGCTTAACGTCTCTAGTATGTAATATGCATAAAGTGTATTAAATAGCATTGAGTTTTCCTATGCATTTTGATGCAAAAGATGTTACAATGATTTCTAGAAGACAATTTGGTGTATCACAACAAGCATGTCTTATTATTTTTTAGTTTTAGGCCCTGTGGAACTGTGAGTCTCTAAGTATTTGCTTCAGACAATTACTCTGTATTTGTTTTTTACTTGATGAATCAATGCTCATATGATTTAGTGCATGAATAAGCATTTTCTCACACAATGAACATTTGAACTGCATTTATGAAAATTTTCCAGTTTGCACCATGAATCTGTTAAATGGACATTTAAAGTAATATATTCACTACTTTGTATACTTTGCAAATTTGTCTCTCTGGCTTTACTCAAGTTCTGAATGCATTGTAACCAAGATTTGGGTTTTTATCCCCTATTAGTAGACATTCAGTGTTACATATGGTTACTTCCCAATATTTATTCTGTTTACTTAGCTAAATATTTACATTCTTGTAACCTTGTAGTGTTTTGTGGCTCTTATCTTGTGGACCATAAATAATATGGCCCAATAACTGTTTGTGTGTATGGAGTGCTTTCTTAGCATAATGGAGATGTAGATATAGATACCATAGTCAAGATGCTGCCATGCTAAAGTATTAATTTACAAAGGATATTCATTCTCTAGCTAATATTTACACTACCAGCTAAACTTTTAAATCCTATTTTTTGTAAAGCTGATATGTTCCTCAATCTAATTATTAAAAATTCTCGAGTCACAGCTAAACTTACTGATTACTAATTCTGATTTGAGTATAACCCATGAATTAAAAATGGCTTCCAAGTGCCACTCTGTATCCCAAAGGAGTTTCTCATGAAATATTCCCCAGAATGTATTCATTGTAAAGAAAATGCCAATCTTCGCCTCTTTGCTTTAACTTAATTGAAATACCAGGGCCCAACAGAGAGAACAAGCTGAGCATCTGTATTTCTAGATAAAAGTTGTTATCAATGTATAAACTCTTTGTGTGATTGGTGATGTTGGAAGCATTTTAGCACAAAACAGCCTTGTGTCTTAGATGATATCTGTAACCAATTTCTAGATCTTGTTGGATAAATCTGTATTGTGATATCTATTTGACCTTAATAAAGTTATTGCATACATTGCTGGCTGAACAATGGATGATTACAGCCGTAGAAACTAGTTGATTATAACAACGAAAGGACAAGCATTAAATCATTGTTTCCAATCTCTCACGATATCCTTGTTGCATGAGCCCAATGTTCATTCATCCATTCCACCATTCTAGGACTTCCTATGCACCTATGCCACCACGATACGACAGCGAGCAAGAGCAAAAACAGGCCCTATGTCGGTCGAGAAGGTTACACTCTACTGGGGGAGACAGACATTAAAATAATCCCACCCCAGTGATGCTATGTGCAAGAAAGAGAGGCACAGAATTCCATAAGAATATCTATTACAGAGATCTAGCTAGGGAAAAGTCAAGGAGCTTCAGACCTGAAGACTACACAGGGTTTAGCAAGGACAGGGTGGGAGGGAAGAATGTCCCAGGAGAGAACAGCCTGGCAAAGCTCTCTGATGGTGGAAGACAGCGTGGATATGTAGGGTTTGCTGGGGTGCAATGAGCAAGGCTGGCTTTGCGGGAACTGTGGCTGCTGGAGGGTGCCTGGGTGAAACCTGCCCAGATGCCTAATCGGGAATTCTGTCTTTATCCTAAAGAAGCCAGGGGAAATTGTTGAAGGGTTTTTAAGCAGGGGAGGGACATGATGAGATTAGCATTTTCAAAGGATCTCAGCGGCTGCAGGGTAGAGAGTGGATTAGAGGAGGACAAAAGAGGATGTTTTAAGGATGAGGAAATAAGCCTTAATTCCTGACATCTACTGGGCAGTGGGCTGGCAGTGGGCGGAGGGGAACTGGCATGACTTCTCCTCCCTCTTCCCACCTCCCCCTTTTTTCCTGGGGTGGTGGCCGAATCTGACTACTTCCGTCAACACTGCCCAGAAGAGTGGCCTCAGCTTCATAAACTGCCATGAACTCTCCAAAGCAGAGAAATCCTCATAACCAGCAGTGATTTTTACCAACCTCAGCAGTTCCAAAGTACATTCGGGGCCCTGATAAACGGAAAACACTACCTGCCCCGGTTGAGAGAGAGACATGCCTCCACAGTCCGCTGCAGATTCGCAATAAAG